AGCACAGCACAGTGCTCACAGATGCAGCACGATGCATGCAATCCGTGGGGCTCCCCTGCTGCAGGTGGAGCAGCGCAGTGCCGTGCATCGGCGCCCGCTGGGCTCTGGGCAGAGGGTCTGCAATGAGAATGTCAATTCTTAGGGGGGGGATTTTGGGGTGGCCTAGCTTAAATCAGGGCCTGTTTTGTGTCTGAATACAAAGCAGGCAGTCGGGGTTCTGCACTCAGCTGGTCCTGGGGATGCCGTGGTGGAAATGCTGGCGGTGATCGTCGGCTGTGTGGTGATACCAGGAGCTCAGTGGGATGCACTGTGCAATGACCCCACAAAGGCACAGCACCAAAGCAGCACAGCAGAGGCACCTGCAGCCGCACCACCCTGCAATCAGAGGAAATGGGCTTGGAAACGAGGAGGAGAACATTTCAAAAGGGACGGGGAAAAAATACACATATACACACAGACATAAAGCAGCCTCAAGCTCCATCCTTCCCCACCACCATGGGCACAGTGTTAATGGCACAAACGCCTGTGGGGCAGAGCAGGGCTGGGGAGCAGGGCTGGGGAGCAGGGCTGGGGAGCAGGGCTGGGGAGCAGGGCTGGGGAGCAGGGCGCGATGCGATGGCTGCGCTCTCCCCATCGCAGTGCTGGTGCATGGCAAAGCCAGGGCAGAGCTCAGCTCCCTCCCATCACCATCACCACCACCCTGCAGCCACTGAGGGTCGGTCCTAGCTGGGACAGCACCAGCCAAGGACACACAGTGTATGGATGCAACCCAACCACGTTTTGGAACCATCGCCCAAATGCAGGATGCGCTGCAGGTGGGGTCTGTGCACATTTTGGAACAGGATGGGGCTGAGAGCTCAGCTATGGCTCCGTGCTGACCCCGCGGTGTCCCAGGCAATGTGCTGAGGTCCCCAAACCTGGCACCGTCCACAGAGCCATCCCTGCACCTTCTCTCCGTGGGCACGGTGCCCAAAGGCAGCACCGCACACCCACCGCACACCCACCGCTCCTCTTGGCTTTTGAGTAAGGAGCCTCATTAAGAGGTAATTAGCTCTCAAACAATGGGAAGCTATTTAGCAGCCCAGCCACAGCAGCATCAACAAGCAGAGGGGGAGAGGAGGGAGGAAAACTCCCACCAGCAGCGATCGGACCCACCTGCAGCCCCATCCCAGCACCTCCTGGGCTGCTCACACCAGGACAGCCCGGCCCCACCGCCGCTGCTTCACACCTCCAGAAGGCATCTGCTGATGCTTTGGGGTCCCTGCGGCACCCTTGGCTGTGGGGCTCAATCCCATGGCCGTATGGGGACGGTTGGACCTGAGGGCAGACCGTGAGCAAGGGGAAAAATAAATCTTCAACTCCTCTTCAGGGGCTGAAAGCAGCAATGCTGTGACCCCCATCCGAGCCAACGGAGCAGAGCGAGGTCTGTGCCCAAGTGAGGAAAAACACGGAGGACAGAGAGCAAATCTCCAGCACACAATTAACGTCTCAACCACGCACACGAAAATAAAAAAAAAAATCTCGCCATTGGAAATGAGTTATTTAAGGAAAAATTGCTGCAATTTTTTGCAGACAGCCCAGCGGATGAACCTCACCAAATAAATGCACGTATCGATACGGAATGGCCCCCAACCCCGGGTACGTGGGGCAGCTGCATGGACAGACGGACAGACAGACGGACAGCCGGCGCTGGGACGGTGTTTGCAGCCCTGTAACCCATCTCCATCCCGCAGCAATGGCACCGGGCGTGCAAACTGCAGGGGTTGGTGCCCAGGGACCCTTTGTGCATTTGAGATAACACCTCCGAAACACCTCTGTTGGTGCACACTGACAGCTCTGCAGCCACACCTGGAGCCGTCCCTCCTTCACCCATCACCCTGCTGCTGCTTGGCTCCAGGAACAGCACGGCTTTGGGTGCCGATGGGGACAAGCAGCCACCTCGCAGCCCCCAGTGGTGGTTGGACCTCAAAAGTGAGAGCAATGGGAGAGTGACTGCAGCCCCCAGGAAGGGAAAATCTCATCGCAGGCGCTGGCCCTGCTTGGAGCTGCTCTCTATTAACCGTGCTGCTCCAGCCCTTGGCTGGTGGAGAATCGCTAACACGGCTTAGCGGGCTGGAAAAGAGGGGTGGGGAGGGCTGCAAATGATCTGAGCACAAAGGGAAAACGATCCAAATGGGAACTCCGAGGGAACCCACTGCTGGGGTTGGGGTTGGGGTTGGGGTTGGGCAGCTCCAACCCCAGCATGGGGCAGAGATGGGAGAAACCCCAACGGCCAGAGAGCCAGAAGATGGGAGAAGAACCACAGCACGGAGAGACCCAGCCCAAATGAAAAGGACCCACGGCGCAGCCAACACGCGGCTCCCAGTACAGATGTGCCCAATCTTTTGCTCAGCCATCCCTTCCCAGCACCCATCTCCCACGAAAAAGCAACCTGAGGGTTTCCATCGCTCCATCAAAGGAGGGCCTGAAGCCATCGCCCTCGTGGCAAACTGGGTTCCATGTGCTGGGATGGGACACGGCACAGCTGGGGCAGCTCTGAGCAGCACGGAGCCGTGGACAAAAAGCCACTTGGATGCAGCAATGAGGGGTGAAGAGCAGCTAAAAGCTGCAGCATCCCAAGCCACATCGCCCTGCAATGCCCACCCGGAGCTGTGCTGAGCTCCTCCAGCCCACGGAGAGCAGAACTGAAATCCCAGCTGTGCTCACAGCACCAACAGGGGGGAAAAAAAAAAAAAACAAAAATAGAAGAAGAAAAAAAACAGAAGAAGAAAAGAAGCAGGAAAAAATGAGGTTTCCAAGGCACAGAAATGACTTCACAGTTAAATATAGGCCACGGGTAAAATCGAGACCATTTACAGCATTTGTATCCGTACCGTAAATAGAGAGAGGAAAATACCCCACACTTTGCACATCTCTACAGACACAAATCCACGGCGGGAGAATTGTTGTTCTGCAAGGATGCTGGTGCTGCCCAGGCCCTGGCTGATGGACCAACCCAGTGCCAATGCTTTGCATCAGGCAGAGCTGAGAGCTTCCAAGAGCTGCCAGCACCGACTTCCAATGGGTCGGAGCGGACATCCAGCCGAACCCAAAGGCTGCACCCAACCCTTCCCAGTGCACAGGGAGAACCCAGTGCTCCGGGATGCAGCTCCCCAACCTCACCCTGCCAACCCCCCCAAGGGCCAGGCACACCAAATTCCCCCTTTGGCCCCATCACCTATTAAAGAAAGGTCTCCAGCTCGGTGCCAAAAGCCCCCACGGAACGGGCAGCTCTCGCCGTACCGTTTGTTTTTCATTTAGAACCCAATTAGGAAATACAGAATTATTCTAATCTGGGCAAATCCTATTGATTCTATCATTCCGTGAGTCTACGACTGGGAGATTTATGGCGGTCCTTTATGGAATATGGATGGTGAAAGAAAACAGGAGAAAAAGCTCCATCCCAGCCCAGGTGTGCGGGTCGGGCATTTTCCTCTCTTTTATTTTTTGGTCCTTTTGGATCCTTTCTGATTTCCCCCCTTCTTAAAGGGGAAAACGAGGGAGGAAAAGCGGAGTCGAAGAGGCATAGGAAGACTGCTCATCATCTAGAAGGATGAAATAACCCTCGAGTAACTCCAAACAGCTGGACCCAAAGAGCAGAACAAGGAGAGAACTCCATGTCTGTATGCGTGGCACTGATGTGTCCCCGTGAGCCCCGGACCCAAAATGTGAAATGTGGGTCACATCACAGCCCTGCAGCCATTGTCTGCTCATCCCACGCCGCTCCCCGCATCCTTTGCTCTATTTTCCCCCCCCCCTTGAAGGTGTTTTCCCTGCTGATATCGGGGCCCAAAGCCTCCAATGGGCCGCAGCACGGATGGATGCTGAGCGATGGCACTGGGGTGATGGCAGTGAGATGGGACACAGAGCCAACAGGCACCACAACCCCATCCCATCACCTGCAGCACAACTCCAGCCGGGAAAACAAAAGGCAAAAACCCCAAAAGTGTGGCCGAAACGGAGCGACCACCGTAACCAAAATATATATATACCCAAAAAACTTTGCAACGGGGAAGAGAAAAACAAAACAAAACCCCACCGAAAACCCACACAACCCAAAAAAGCCCTCCCCTCCTCTTCCAACCCCCCACAAAAATGCGAGGGGGAGGATAATAAAACCCATATGCGGGGCAGCCGAGGCCCCGGCACGAAGAGCACAAAGGAGCCGGGCGTCCCATCCAGGAGCGCGGAGTCACCGCGCCTCTCCACGGCCGGAGGGCATCGCGCCGCCCCCGGCACAGCGCACAGCAATTGGGGGGGATGAAGGGATGGGGGGGAGGGGGGGTCCGATGGGGTCTTTTTCTGAGCCGTGCGGATTTGGGGAGCAGCGCGGGGATGGCAGCCGGCCCCGCATCGGCGCGATGTGCGGGGTCCGATCGGGGGCTGCACCTGGGGGGAGATGGAGCTGCGGGGTCGGCGGCATCAGCTGGGAATTAATTAGGGGAGGGGGTGTAAGGATGGATGGGGGGGGGGGATCCGGAGCTCATCGCGGGGTGAATTCGGGCTTTACGGAATTGCGAACAAAGAAATCCGACGGGGAAAAGAAAAAAAAAAAACAACAAAAAAAAAGAAATGAACTCTCCGAAATCATCACCATAACAAGGCTAAATAATAATAAAAACCCTTCCAAAAAAAAAATAGTAATAATTAATAATAATAATGACAGCAATAATTTCTTCTCGCAAACACAGAGCGGGGAAACTACGGGAGCTGACGGAGCGGTTCTTTTTTTTTCTTCTTCTTCTTTTTTTTCTCTCTTTTTTTTTTTCTTTTCCCCCCTCTCGCTTCTTCCAACGTGGAAAATAACGCCGAGTTTCTCCGCCGCCGCTCGCAGCCTTTTGTCCCGAGCCCCGGCGTGCGGGAACTCCGCGAGGAACCGGGATGGAGGGGATGGAGCGGGGAGGGGGGAAAAGGCAGAAACGAAAAGCACGGAGGGAAGAACGGGGCGGCCCGGCGCTCACCTGGGGTTGCTGCGGTTCCAATAGACGGCGTAGCGATCCGAGATCACTTTCCCGGGGTCGTCGCTCCACACGCAGACGCCGACGATCGCCGCGAGCAGCGCGGCCGCCTCCCAACGCGGCATCGTCCCGGCGGAGCGGCTCAGCGGGCGGCGGCGGAGCGGCTCCGGGCCCGACCGGGAGCGGCGGGCGGGAGGCGGGCGGCGGCGGCGGCGGCGGGGGGGCGGCCGGAGCTCACCATCGCCCGCGGCCCCGCGGCCGTCAGCGGGGAAAGTTGGGGGCGGCCGCCGAACGCCTGAACGGCGGCGAGCGCATCCCGCGAACCGATCGGAGGGGACCGAACCGGGCCCCGCTCCGTTCCAGCCGTCGGGCACCGCCGCCCCGACGAAGTTCCCCGCTCGAGACCCCCGGCCGCCCCCCCCCGCCGCCCGCGCCCCGCACCTGTAGAGCTGCGCCGGGTGGGGCGCGGTGCGGAGCGGCGCGGTGCGGGGCGGAGCTGCGGTGTGGGGGGCACGGCTCGACCCCGCGGGCTTCCTCCGCCCGCCGCCGCGCCGCCCGGGAGCACCGGAGAGACAAAGGCCGGGCCGGAGGCCGCCGCTCCCCGCGTTCAGTGCCGCCGCTCCATGCTGCGCCGCGCCCCGCCCCGCCCCGCGCCGCTCCGCCCCGCACGGCCCCGCACCGCCCCGCGCCGCCGTCGGTTCCGCCCCCCGCCACATTGTTGCCACCGACGGCCGCGGCGAGCGCCCGACTGCGACCCAGGGCGGAGCCCCAGCGGTGCCCCCCGAGCGGTCACGGATATGGGGGGGGAGAGAGCTGAGAGCGTGCGGGGGTCGTGCGGTGCGAAATGCGGGGCAGGGGTTGGGGTTTGCAAGGGGGTGCGTTGCAAAATGAGGGGTGCTTTGCTAAAGCGGGGTGCGTTGTAAAGATGGGGGTGCAGAGGTTGTGCGTTGCGAAGGGGGCGCGTTGCAGAATGGGGTGCAGGGGTTGTGCTTTGCAAAGGAGGGATGCAGAGGTTGTGCTTTCAGTGGGGAGTGCATCGCAGTGGGGGTGCTTTGCAAACGGGGGCGCATTGCAAAAGGGGGGTGCAGTGGTTGTGCGTTGCAAAGGGGGAG